CGCTCTTCTGGGCGCGCGTACATTCTCTTTCTCTCACACTCCGACATAGGATACTTCACCATCTTCCACCGTGCACACCGCGTATCATTCTCGCCAATATAACCGAGAATGAGACGACGGCCAATCCTTCCACGACCTTGCTTTACGCATTTTATAGAATTACAGTTACAAAAACATCCCTTTATCAACACGGATGATTAGCTATCTTCAATTGGAAAATTGATGGAGATTTATATGACAAGCAATCCCGATGTAGAAAAGTAAAAAAATCAAAATGTATATAATGGAAAAGAAATATATTAAGAGTTTACCTTCCAAGCAGATATTCAAATGTTGAATATCTACTTAAAAGGATGATACAAATAGAACACTAGTTACGTTTGCTGTTCTTCAAAATTTTTCTAAAATAAAACTTAATTGAACTCTTTACTTCCTTTTCATTTGATTATCTAAAAACTCTGTAACACACACATGTGGTAACATAATTCTATATAGCACCTAATTATATAGTTATCATTGCATGCTGCGTTATATACCGCTCACCACCGTTTATAACCGGCTGAATACATGATTTATTGAAGCGGTTAATATTGCTAACACGTAGCTAATATCCCAGAGATATATGTTCCACTCACCACCAATTGGTGTTATCCCACATCCTAAGGTAAGTAAAGGCGTTACTGTTTATTCAGGCCCGCGTTATCGCCTTCTCAGCACTGAGAAATCTTCCAGATAGGCTTCTTCAGCCTTGGTTTCGGTTACAGCTATGAACGCACATTGTACGGTGTCTTTCTTTTACTAAACTCACTGCACATTTGAGTTGACATTTAACAATATTTTTAACAATCAGTATTTTCAATATTGTTGTTAAATATATATTAAATGTATACGTTGTTAAATATTATTTGTCATTTGAATTGCAAATAATTTTACTAAGCACAACGTGCTTACATTCTTTTGATCGCTTTTCTCATATAAGCATCAAAAACATTATCCTTTAGGACAATTATTTCAATTCTAATGAATAATTAATGAGAATCGATTAAAAAATATTAATAAATTATAAGATAAAAATCGTCAAAGAGTTTAATTAATATAAGTGAAAGCTTTTCACATTATGATTCTACCATTAAGAAACCATTGTAAAAATTCTTCAAGGGAAAGAAAAAAACGGATAGAAGAAAAACGAGAAATTCAGTAAGGTCAAAGAAAGATATCATGGAGAAAGTATCATGGTGCGTGACTACTAATCTTAATCTTAGACTTAGGTACAACAACACGAAGATATTGTTCGTATTCTCACGTGCCCTATAAGGCACGTCCGACGAGAACAAGAAACACGTTGTTATCGAATTTATACTAACGTCAAATAAACGTTAAAAAAAAATATTACAATCAATCGCAGCTCTACGTTCCATTCAAAAGATATTCTCAGGCAATTTATTTTACCTGTCCTTTACATAATCCTCGATTATATTATAATTATATCTTCTTCATGATTATAAAAATAAGTTTCGGGATAAATTTCAATCAATCGCTCAAATAAATTTCTATTTTTAATTATCAATTATATCATTTTCCGTCGTAAATATATAACTTCAATTTCTCTCCCCCTCCTATGTCGTAAATTAATTATTAGGATAGGCTTACAATGAGATCATTCATTCAGCAACCGGTCGTTCATCGGTGCGTGTATCAGCCGTTAGAATGCGTAGCGCGCGCGCGCGCGCCGAAACTCTTAACTCGCGGGCAGCGATTCGCACATTCTGATTCCGATTTCAGGCTGGCGCTTCGATATTTACCCGTCGTGGATGCTAACGATGCCGATGGGTTTGCGCGGGTTTGCGTAGACCCGCGTGGCGTTTATTCACGTTAACGAGGCCCGATTAAAAGCCGTGAGATGACTCACGGGGACGTGACGCGCGCGCGTTCACGTAGGTCCCAAAACGAGGGCGGCAATATATCTCGCGATATATATCACGTGTTGACGCCAATAGGACGAACCGATCCCGGCGTAACAATGGGCCTCCTAATTGGTACGACGTACGAAACGACATGGGCCTGCTCTTTGTTGCGCGACCCTTAACGTTCATTCGGCCCTAGACTGACCCACTGCGACACGTATACGGCGATTTTAGTACGGTAATTATCAGTCTTTACGATCGACAACCTTTCGACCGTTGTTTCGCTAAGCTCTCGACAAATAGGCGTTAACACGGAACAGTAGAAAAATTTCAGAAGTTTCGGGCTTTACCGTAACTAATTTGCGTGCAATGTATCGTCTAAACTTTAAATAACAACTTGGATTTCCTTCTGTTCTATGTAATTTGTTTTTTTATTTACGATTTTACGCGCGAGTATTATTATCTTTAAGCTTTAATTTGATACCCTCACAAATTAGTTTATTACTATCAAGTGCTTTTCATTAATAATCATTAATAAATCATTAATAATCTTCTTTTTCTTTTCAATTAAACCTTACACGCCTTTCTCTTATTACTTTTTCTTGTTACTACAATTACTTCATTTCAATATGGAGTGTAATAAAGTATAAAGCAACTGAAAATAACAGAGCCGACCGCTCGTCATCGTGCACGCCGGAAGTGGACACTGTCTCGTGACACGTGTCGGGAGTCGACCCACGCGAGTGCCGCGATGAAGAACAGTCGCTCGAGCATTTCGATAAGAATCGAGAACACCTGCGGCACGCGCCCGGACATATACGAAACGAACCGCGATGCGCCTTTGCGTGCACCACACTCCTACGAGCTGCGACGGCGCGGCGCGGCGTCGGAAATGCGGCGGGCGTCGAAGGAGAACAACGACGATTATTCCTACGCACGCGGGAGGTCCCGCATGACACGGGCCTGCCTCTCGAAAGAACGGCGGAAAGTGGGCTAAATAACGACTGATTGGTGGACAATGCACACGGGTGTAAAGCCGCATTCCATCGTTTCGAGTTCGGTCTCCCTCCCCCCCCCCTATTCATGATGCACTTGTTCATTGAAATGAAATATTTATAACAGGTCGACGGTCGAGAGAAATAAGAGAGAAAGAGAGAGAGAGAGAGAGAGAGAGCAGACACGACGCTAGATATCGACGTTCTTTGTGCTTAACTGTATGGACACCTTTCCTCACGTCGATCGCGTGATTATGAGATACGAGGTTGTTAACCTCGGACCTCATTGCCGCGTCGAATTTTGTTCATTTACATTCCACGTCTCTGAATATTTGTATTCCATGTTCATTGAATTTTATTTACCTCGTTTGTATGTATCTAATACGCGTAACGTTACAGACAGTCTCGAACAATGCAAAGTTCAACACAGTGCAGCTATACGAAAATTTGCCTGAGCTCAAAATCAAATCTGCAATGTGTTATTTATTTTATTTAATTGTTAAAAATTAATTCTTCGAAATAATTAATTACCACAAATTAATTATTGCAAATGTATTTTTTTACATTAATTTCTTTTCGTTAGAATTAAAGGCGGATTATATATGTTTAACGATATTCCTCTCGAGAGCGAAAGGAGTTAATAACTTGCGCAGAATTTCAATTTAATTCTCGGGGGGGAGTCTCATAATCCTCATAAAAGATTACGGAATTAATCCTGGGAAAAATCAGAATCACACGTAAGGCCAGCGGCGGAACGGATCGGAAAACCGTTTCCTTTCTGTCGGTACGATCTACCCGATCGGGAGCGACGCACGATCGGAGACCGTGTGATTATCCGGTCGCTAATTGATTAGTTAGGACAGTCGTCGAACATATGTTGGTCATCTTTACGATTCTACGATTCTCGCCCCGCGCCGCCCTTAATCCGATAGGGGTCCGAACAGAAGAGGCCCGAGTGGCCCCGCGCCTATATACCCGTTGTATATTGCGCAACGTGTAATTTGCGGACAAAAGAGCACGTTGCTGCCGATGCTTACGATATACCCGCTCATTGTTGCGCCACAACAATGCGGCGGCTCTTTACGAGGTAGAACCCGGGTGTACGCTAGGTGAAATATTCATCGCCATCGGGGGTTGCTATTCTATGAGCCAACGGCATTAGGCGAACGCGAGAAATTATATCGGCTGATTACTTACTGACAAGTCGGACACCATAAACGCGAGTTGCATTCACGTTTGGGCGTGCTGCCCAAACAGAAATCGAAGCGTGAACTGGTTACATTGGAAACAATTAGTACGAGGCTTTCCGAAATAATTAAGAACATTGCTAATCCAGAAAATAGCACACCTATATTGCAGCTATGAGAAGCGGTAAGGGAATGATTATGTAACGTCACATTGTTGGAAAAAAATAGCAATTAACGTAAGCAAATTATTTACGCGCATAAATGTTTTAAATCTTTTAAATCAGACATAATACTGTAGAAATTGAGGATGTACGAAACCGGATGTTGACAGAAGATCGTCTTGGACCCTTTGCGACAATCAAAATGTTAGATACAATTAACGGGAAATCATATATCTCGATACTCTCGAGATCGGCAAATCTGTTCCCATGAAATTAATCTTCCGCCGACCGAGATCGCGATCCTGTTAAGCGAGACTACTTCAAACGATGCGACTAATCCAAGATCCCGGATTCTCGTAATCTCGTGGGATGATCCCGGGGAGAAACTGCACCCGCGTACCGCGAGGATCTTCGAAGCTACGGTGAACCGATTTGTCCGTCGATTAGCCACGGCCGGTGCATCGGACCGGCTTTAAAAGACGTAGACTGGCCGAAGCTCCTCCGGAGCAGGATTCTCGGGGTTGTTCACACTGACGTGTCTTCGGTCTGGTCACTTTCGCGCAATGCGTTATTGAATTCACCAAAGAATACAAAGTCGGCATGACTAATTGCGTGGAACTAAAAGCTAGTTCGTAATGCAGGTGTTATCCCAACCACATCGTTGTGTCACGGCTGCACTTTCTTCATTTATCTTCATTCTTCTTTTCATCTTTCAATCATCAATATATAAAGAATAATTCAAAACTAAACCAATAAAAGTAATATAATGACAATTTTTTTTTCAGTAAAGGCTTATCAAAAAATATAGATAGAGAATACATTTATAGCAAAACAAATCGTTTTTCTCACAAATACATAACGTTATCAATAAAAAATAGTATATAAAATGTTATATTATGAGATGTATAACCACGTATTTAATGCGATTATATCAATATGTTTTTTTTTATGTTTTATTTTACGATTGCCGGATTCGTATTTACTTGAACGAATATTGAGTAATTTGATAAGGATAAATGAAGAAATTGTGCTCTGATTTAGGAACGTTTGACCTTCGGTATAGGCTCCTCGATGAGGAGTCGTCTTTTCGGTGACCACGAAGGCGGTCTAGGCAATTTAGGTCGTGGTATCGAGCTCGATTGTTTGCGATCTCTACCTCTATCGCGATTCGGAGATCGTCTTCGTTGCCGTCGTCGTCCTTTAGCTGCATTCGATCTGTCGGTTGCCTTTTTCTTGCTGCTCCTCTTCCTCTTCTTTGTCCTCGTATTCCTTCCGGCGATATTGCGTCTCGAGTTTGTAGTTTGATGAAAGTCAGGATCAAATCTGCCGTGTATATATGTACGTGTGTATATACATATATATATATTATATATGAAGTACTGGAGAGAGAGATACGTAATTGCTAGAATTCTTGGAATTATAAACTTTCTCAGATATTTTGAAATATATATGTTGTACAAGACAGTATCTATATTTATACGCAATAGAATCTTTTATTAACAATTTTGCAATAATACTTTATGCATCATTTTCCTGAAATTTATTATTTTTACGCAATTTGTGATTACTTTTAAGTTATAATGATATAAAGTTGATATTTTTTAACATTATTAGAATTTAGCTTATCAAAATAAATAATAACTGAAGATTCATCGAGAAGGAAGTTATTGAAAGGGAGTTGCTTTCGCGAACGTAGTTATATAAGTTACACTCGGAGATTTTTCTCGAGAAAACCTTAAGTTATTTGCTAAAAGAGCTTTCCGAGGAAGAGGCACCTGAATTTGTTTCTCTTCTTAGCGAGTATACCGAAGTCTAGACCGCGGCGCAGAGCGACGGCGACGTCTCTCCGAAGAGTCTTACCGACCGCGATGTTATATTTGTCGCTGATGTGCGTCAGTATCTCCTTCTTGGAAAAGCCATCGGGTAGCTGCGCGGTACGAAGCAGGTTGTAAACGAGGACAGATCGACGCACCATTCTTGCTGAAGTGTGATTTATTACGAGAATATTCGTTATAACCGAACATAACCAGCCGATTCATAATGCCAATCGTGAAGAATGCAAAATGTCAAAGCTCGCTGAAGTTCGACGTATATCTGTCACGAGTGACAAACTTCGCGTTAACGCACATATATATTGCACACATGTATATGAAGAGCACCATTATATAAAATAATATCTAAAATTATAAATTGTATAATAATAAATAATATTTAATTTTCCGGAAATTTTCACTCCCTGTCTCTTTCTTTCCCTTTCCCCCTATATTCCTTTTCCTTTCTCTCTTCTCTTTGACTATATTCCATAGTATTCTGGTTGATCTTTTATATTCAACGCAGAATTAAAAGATCTTATATTAAACGTCATATTAGTGGCGTAATTGCCATTAATTATCATTATTATTTTCATTACACAATATCCAAGAGATATTAGAGCACATACCGATTTGCATCTCTTACTAGCGAGCTTTTATATGTACATATATAAATCGATATTTCTCTTCACCCGAACGCTCATCTTCAACACGCAAACACATGTTTTATACAAAAAATATGTATATAAATATATATACATATACATACATATACGTATCTTTATATATAATATGTATTTGTACATATGTATATATATGTACATGTACTCCAGAGCTCTGTTCCGATACTTGGAGCAGCCCGCTGTTTGCCGAGAGGGATACAGAGAGTTTAGAAGGAGCTCGGTCTTGGATGGCTGGACGACTTCGGGGAGTGGTTCTGGCAAAGGGGGTTGGAGGCTTAAAGTCGGAGTGAGAGAAAAGAGAGGCGCGCGGAAAGAGAGGGATGGAAACGAAGAGAAATCTTGGTGTCTAGATAGAGGGAATCCGCCTGGATGGCCGGCGATTCTGATTTCCGTCGGGAGTTTCGCCCCATCGAGGCGGAGTAACCCAAGTGAAGCCGCCTTTAATCATTCGATTGCCGACGCTCCGGATCCTCTCTCTTGCAACGGTGGCGAGATGCCGATATCCAGGATGCGGCGGGATCCGACGCGCGCTCGATCTGGCTGTTTGCTTATCATTTTGACGATTGGACGTCTCGAAAAACAAACGGCGGATTAATTCGCGGCGTTTTGCCGTGAAAGCAGAGATCTCTCGTTATCAGTGAGCAATTATCGTGCCCGCGGTGATTTCTACAGACTCTCCCAAATTGATCGAATATATACCTTATACTTTAAGTTGCGGACAACTTAGTAATGACCCTTTTCCTATTTTTTTAAAAACATAGATCGTTAGTACACATATACCTATGATATGTATAATGCAAATTGCAAATTTCCTTAAATTTTGGCCAAGATATGTACTTGATATAAAGTATACTTTTAATTATAAATAATTATAAGGAATAAAAAGTAAAAATGTTCTTCTACGTAAAACGATGTGCCAAAAATCACTGTTTCCAATTTCGTTCCTCCGTTCTGCCGACTGAATGTTACATTGCAGCATTCAGAGCAAAAGAAAATGATGACCTTATTGTATTAGCAGAGCTAGTAAAATATATTTGCGCAGATTGTTAAATATTAGGTCTAAATTACTACTTTCCGTCCCGTTGAGTAGCCCGTGAAGTTTTCTGCATGGAACTGGAAGATCGAGGATTTCTCTCAATTTTTCCGAGAAGTTCTTTCCAAGAAAATTGGTGCGGAAACATCGACTCCTTTATAAAAGAGTACTATAACTACACTCTATTTTCATAATTAAGAACGTTGGCAGTGTCAAGTGAGGTAACTTGAATTTTTTACAACGTCTATGAAAATGTTTGAGAGAATATAATATAAAATGTTGTAAAATACATAATTAATTTTAATTTTTATTTCGTATCTACACACGCACGCCAATATTATTTCTCGCAATCTTCTCTATTTTAAAACTACCGTCCAAAAAAAATGTAATTATTACTTATTTCTTATTAAAAAAAACAAAGAACGTAACTTGTATGAATAGTAACACTAGCGTAAGGATAAAGCTCATTTACAAAAAAATAACTTACAATAATAAAATAATACAAGTATCTTAAACTGTTTTACACACCAATAATTAACGTGACGTAGATTTTCACCGTTCCATGCAAAGAACTATCATAAGCTAGGTCGAATAGAAATGCGACAACAATATTCGAGAAGCATCGCGATCCTTAAACGAACGGTTTGCTTCACAACCCCGACGATTTGTCTTCCCTTTTCTTCCTCGCGGAGGGTGGGCATCCCGGTTTCCCGGGTTTCTCCGTGCCTTTTTCCAATTGTACCGCCCCCGTGCCGTGCGCCCGGGTCCTCCAAGTCGCGGCAAGTGGATTATTGACGGCACGAAACAATGGCGTAGCTTTGTTCGGTGCGCTCCCGCGCGTAATATGTGTTCGACGCACAGTGCACGTCTGTCCATCCGTCAGTTTTGTGCGTCACGAGTGGCATCGGCTATAAGCCGAACGAGTGGCCCTTCGTACCGGGTCGAGTCAAGCACCGTACTATACATCTGGCTGTCTGATCGGTGTTTATTAAAAATCATACGGAACTATAATCGCCCGCACATCCGATCTGCTGCATTTAAATACGGCCATCAATGTCTGCGATACGAATGCGGACTTGATGTCAAGAAGATCGTAAGTACACTGTTACATACAGGTACACATGTATACATAATTATTTTTTACTAATAATCATTTATACCTATATTAACAACATTGGACTGTAGATCTCATTTATAGGTGCACGAAAGAAATACAAAAAATTGAAAAAAAAAAAACTAAAAATAGCACCTTAATGTAATATTGTGTGGCAATCATATTTCAATTAAAAATATATGAAAATTTTAAACTTGCAACAAAAATTATCTTTAAAAAGATAACTTTAGCCTGTATAAATAGAAATTGTAAATTAAGAAGCGATATTTATTGCACTCACTTACTTAAAGAAATCTATTACTTTCTAAAGACTACTTACTAAAGAAAATGATAGTCGATACACGAGAGTTCGTCTAACAATTGCGATACGGTAGAATACACGTAAATATAAAATAGTACAAAAGATCGATCACGAAACTCAAAGTATACATGAATCACAAACAAAATATATCACTTCACCTCGGTGGAACCATCCGCCAAAGGAGCTAGAAGTTCAGCTTGGCAAGGAATGTCGCTTCATTCCGAGGGATGAAAGGAACAAGCTTTCCTTGCGACAATTTTATTGGTCTTTCTCGAAAGAGGCAGCAGCAGTAGCAGCCGGTTACTCCCCAGAAAGATGGGATAGTACAAAGCGAAACGGGAGACAGTCGGGGTGAGTTAATTCTCCGACTACCCCTTCCCGAATTTTAATTCCGATATGACAAATTCAGCCTTCGAGATAACTACGGGATACGATATTTCATGCCTTTTTTCACCTTAATATCTTCCACGGAAAAAACATTAATTTTTCTTTATTAAAAATGTTGAAATATCAAAAAGGATTACTTTTTTTATAAATTTAATTGCCAGCAAACAAATAACAAAAACTTGTTCCTTAATTCATCACGAAGAAACTTCAATTTCAGACTTAATTCAAAATCAAAATATTGAATATTGAAAAGTAGAAAGTTGTAAGAGGGAACGCTTCCCAAAGAATATTTCGTTAAACAAAAATGGATTCCAAATCGATCGAAGGATTCCGTACAAAGTTCGTGTGAATTTTGATTCACCCTGCATAGCGCTGAAGAATTAATGTTATAGGTATGTACACAGTGTATTACACAGCCTGCTTCTTTACTAAATTACAACGTGCGCGGAAATTGTGCGGCGTGTTTGCCGGATGGGAAGGCGATTCGCAAGAAGTGCGCTCGCTCGTGAAGGAGAAATCTCTATGACGATAAGGAGCTATGCGCCGCTGGGAATGCCGGGGTTTGGCCATGGTGAATTTTGCCATGGAGGTCGTGATCCAACGTGCAAACAACCCTATGGGCAGAGATTTCGATTTGGTATCCGCTGATGTCGACTATCGTGCGTCCCCCGAGGCGCAAAAGCACACTGCTCACCATCGAAATAAAGTCTCGAGGTATGATGCTCAAAACAACATGCCGCAGTTGCTTTCATAACGGAACGTGTTTTCGGTTATAGTTTATATTTTCGCGAAAATTATTGTATATCCTTCTAAAAAGTTACACAACAAACAAATAACATTCTGCAATCGGCGTAGTTCTTTTGATATTTTCATTTTTTAGATCATAAAAATATTAATAACCGCTAGTGTATTTCGGGGAGAGGTTTAAACATCAAGTTCGAACAAATGACTTGGTGAACAACTGATTTTTTGTTTTAAAAACAAAAAACAAAATAAGGTGATATAATAATGAAAAAAATTAATGTAAACCTGTATAGCGTAATAACAAATGTTATTGTGGCACTGCAATGTATTTTCTACCGCCACACGTATTGCATTCATAAATTCCGTCACACTAACATCCGGCGATCTAATTAACTAACTTCGCGTTCCTTCGACGCGGCATCACTTTATCTTCACTTTAGCCCGGCAAAGTCTGTGAAACGCATCTCCGAGCGACCGCGTAACCAGTAACACGGGGAAGAAGTAAAACACCGTCTTACGCCGGTGCGAGGAAGTGACGCAGACGAATTTCGAATTAACGTGCTGGATGTTTGAGCACCGTACCAGGAACCCTCTCCAGGGGTTGCGAAAGTGAGGGGGCGGTTTGACAGTGGCTGGTGGCTCGGAGGGATTCAATATAATCGCGCAATAAAATTCACTTACAAGCTATAGCCGCGCGCAGCGTCCCCCCCCCCCCGCTCCTCCCCCCGTCGCCCTCCGCGTCCCATCCCGGCTCCACTCTACGCTCCTCTGTCCCTACAACCCCGAAAAGCGGAGCTTTATCCCGCATCGCAGCAAAGCGCCATGAAATATTGCTGTTGAGTTCCCAACCGAAATTTACGTCCGCTCCGCGCGTTCGTGAGAGGGTTGATCAGAATGTAGGTTTATAACGTGCTTACTTGCAACAATTTTTGTTGCTTTGATTTAGTTCAGCTTGTACAGATCTGATCTTGTACAGATCAGTGAAAATGATACATTCTATAAATTATTATTCATAAGTAA